TCTAAATAAAGTTACCTTTACTAGGAACATTAGGCCTGTCTAAATAACGTTACCTTTACTAGGAACATTAGGCCTGTCTAAATAACGTTACCTTTACTAGGAACATTAGGCCTGTCTAAATAATGTTACCTTTACTAGGAACATTAGGCCTGTCTAAATAACGTTACCTTTACTAGGAACATTAGGCCTGTCTAAATAACGTTACCTTTACTAGGAACATTAGGCCTGTCTAAATAACGTTACCTTTACTAGGAACATTAGGCCTGTCTAAATAACGTTACCTTTACTATGAACATTAGGCCTGTCTAAATAATGTTACCTTTACTAGGAACATTAGGCCTGTCTAAATAACATTACCTTTACTAGGAACACTAGGCCTGTCTAAATAACGTTACCTTTACTAGGAACATTAGGCCTGTCTAAATAACGTTACCTTTTACTAGGAACATTAGGCCTGTCTAAATAACGTTACCTTTACTAGGAACATTAGGCCTGTCTAAATAACGTTACCTTTACTAGGAACATTAGGCCTGTCTAAATAACGTTACCTTTACTAGGAACATTAGGCCTGTCTAAATAACGTTACCTTTACTAGGAACATTAGGCCTGTCTAAATAACGTTACCTTTACTAGGAACATTAGGCCTGTCTAAATAACGTTACCTTTACTAGGAACATTAGACCTGTCTAAATAACGTTACCTTTACTAGGAACATTAGGCCTGTCTAAATAACGTTACCTTTACTAGGAACATTAGGCCTGTCTAAATAACGTTACCTTTACTAGGAACATTAGGCCTGTCTAAATAACGTTACCTTTACTAGGAACATTAGGCCTGTCTAAATAACGTTACCTTTACTAGGAACATTAGGCCTGTCTAAATAACGTTACCTTTACTAGGAACATTAGGCCTGTCTAAATAACGTTACCTTTACTAGGAACATTAGGCCTGTCTAAATAACGTTACCTTTACTAGGAACATTAGGCCTGTCTAAATAAAGTTACCTTTACTAGGAACATTAGGCCTGTCTAAATAACATTACCTTTACTAGGAACATTAGGCCTGTCTAAATAATATTACTTCTGGGAGAAATACAAAATGCCAATCTAGCTCAGGGATGGTCAGGGATGGTCCACAGGCCCATGTTGACTCTAATGCTTCACACAGTTGTGTCAAATTGGCTGGATGTCCTTTGGGTGGTGGACCATTCTTGATACACATGGGAAAGTGTTGAGCGTGAAAACCCCAGTAGAGTTGCAGTTCTTGACACACTCAAACAGGTGCACCTGGCACCTACTACCATACCCCGTTCAAAGGCACTTAAATATTTTTGTCTTGTGCCCTCTGCACACATAAACAATCCATGTCTCGAGGCTTTAAAAATCCTTCTTTAACCTGTCTCCTCCCCTTCATCTACACTGATTGAAGTGGATTTAACAGGTGACATCAATAAGGGATCATATCTTTCACCTGGATTCACCTGGTCAGTCTATGTCATGGAAAGAGCAGGTGTTCCCAATGTTTTATGCACTCAGGGTACACGGGGGAGGCTGGAGTCTTTTACCATTTTTAGGGCCTACCACCTGGTATAGAGGTCCTGGATGGCAGGGAGCTCGGCCTTGAGGTCGGATGCCAAGCAGTTGCCATACCAAGCGGTGATGCAGCCAGTCAAGATGCTCTCAATGGTGCAGCTGTAGAACGTTTTGAGGATCTGAGGGCCCATGCCAAATATTTTCAACCTCCTGAGGGGGAAGAGGTGTTGTCATGCCCTCTTCACAACTGTGTTGGTGTGTTTGGACCATGATAGATCATTAGTGATGTGGACACCAAGGAACTTGAAGCTCTCAACCCACTCCACTATCGCCCCATCGATGTGTATGGGGGCGTGCTCCTGTAGTTTCCTGTAGTCCAAAATCATCTCCTTTGTCTTGATCACGTTGAGGGAGAGGTTGTTATCCTGGCACCACATGGCCAGGTCTCTGACCTCCGCCTTATAGGCTGTCTCATCGTTGTCGGTGATCAGGCCTACCACCGTTGTGTCATCTGCAAACTTAATGATGGTGTTGGAGTCGTGCCTGGCCACGCAGTCGTGGGTGAACAGGGAGTACAGGAGGGGACTGAGCACGCACCCCTGAGGAGCCCCCTTGTTGAGTGTCAACATGGCAAATGTGTTGTTACCTACCCTCACCACCTGGGGGCGGCCCGTCAGGAAGTCCAGGATCCAATTGCAGAAGGAGGTGTTCAGTCCCAGGATCCTTAGCTTAGTGATGAGCTTGGAGGGCACTATGGTGTTGAACGCTGAGCTGTAGTCAATTAACAGCATTCTCACATAGCTATTCTACTGAGTTGTAGTCAATGAACAACATTCTCACATAGGAGTTCCTCTTGTCCAGGTGGGAACGGGCAGTGTGGAGTGCAATAGAGAATGCGTCATCTGTGGATCTATTGGGGCGTTGTACGAATTGGAGTGGGTCCAGGGTGTCTGTGATGACACCTTGGACCCATCGCTCTACACCAGGGCTAACTGCCTCTGTCTCAGTCACCGCTCTACCCCAGGGCTAACTGCCTCTGTCTCAGTCACCGCTCTACACCAGGGCTAACTGCCTCTGTCTCAGTCACCGCTCTACACCAGGGCTAACTGCCTCTGTCTCAGTCACCGCTCTACACCAGGGCTAACTGCCTCTGTCTCAGTCACCGCTCTACACCAGGGCTAACTGCCTCTGTCTCAGTCACCGCTCTACAACCAGGGCTAACTGCCTCTGTCTCAGTCACCGCTCTACACCAGGGCTAACTGCCTCTGTCTCAGTCACCGCTCTATACCAGGGCTAACTGCCTCTGTCTCAGTCACCGCTCTACACCAGGGCTAACTGCCTCTGTCTCAGTCACCGCTCTACACCAGGGCTAACTGCCTCTGTCTCAGTCACCGCTCTACACCAGGGCTAACTGCCTCTGTCTCAGTCACCGCTCTACACCAGGGCTAACTGCCTCTGTCTCAGTCACCGCTCTACACCAGGGCTAACTGCCTCTGTCTCAGTCACCGCTCTACACCAGGGCTAACTGCCTCTGTCTCAGTCACCGCTCTACACCAGGGCTAACTGCCTCTGTCTGTCACCGCTCTACACCAGGGCTAACTGCCTCTGTCTCAGTCACCGCTCTACACCAGGGGCTAACTGCCTCTGTCTCAGTCACCGCTCTACACCAGGGCTAACTGCCTCTGTCTCAGTCACCGTTCTACACCAGGGCTAACTGCCTCTGTCTCAGTCACCGCTCTACACCAGGGCTAACTGCCTCTGTCTCAGTCACCGCTCTACACCAGGGCTAACTGCCTCTGTCTCAGTCACCGCTCTACACCAGGGCTAACTGCCTCTGTCTCAGTCACCGCTCTACACCAGGGCTAACTGCCTCTGTCTCAGTCACCGCTCTACACCAGGGCTAACTGCCTCTGTCTCAGTCACCGCTCTACCCAACAAAAGGGCTAATTTACACCGTCTCTGTCATTTCCCAGACCACACTGGTGCAGGTCCCCTCTTTGAGTTTCTCCCCCAGGGAGTGCTAGGGGAAGGAAGTTCCAGATTTCTGGGTCACACACACACACACACACACACACACACACATACACACACACACACACACACAAACACACACACACACACACACAAACACACACACACACACACACACACACAAACACAAACACACACACAAACAAAAGTGTGTGTAAATGCTTCTAATATAGCAGGCCAAGCTGATTCACATAAATATTTGTGTAATGTATTGGTGTCAGACTCCTTGATAAATAATGAAATAGAATAGTGCAGGCCTGATTGCTGACTGACCGGGGAATAAGGAGGATATTAAACTAGCCTGGGTAGTGGAGTGGAGGAGCAGAATGGTGAATAGAAGGAGAGCAGGATCTGTTCCAGGCGTCTCCCCTCACAGAGAGAGAGAGAGAGAGAGAGAGAGAGAGAGAGAGAGAGAGAGAGAGAGAGAGAGAGAGAGAGAGAGAGAGAGAGAGAGAGAGAGAGAGAGAGAGAGAGAGAGATGGGGACTGACATACATTTGTTTTGGCCAGCTGTGAGGCTGTGAACTAGCAGTGGATTATTAGCCAGTTAGTCATGGATAGAGAGTTTGCAGTGAGAGAAGACATCCCTTCCTCCTTCAGAAACACCCTCTGAAACAGATCTCAAATATTTAAGTCATTTTGCTTTGTGAGCAAAAACCCATAGGCCTAGTCTCTGTGCTTCATGAACTTTGAAGAAAGATATCAATGATCCCAATTCCAATAGATTTCTAACTAACACCTAATGCAGACAGAGATCGTAGACTAGGCTATATATCTTTGATATAGAATAGCCTCCCTATTGCTTATCCTTGGAAGTTTTCTCAAAGTGGGAGGAGTTAATCAGTGTTGAGTGCACCCACCCAAACTTGTCCTACTTCTAAATCAACTTTGCTACATTGTAAATTAAGTACAGCAGGCTCCATAAAAAAATGAAAATAAGATATTGACAATATTTAGGCATAAAAAAGTTTAAAAGGATCAAAGAAAATAATCAAAGGTTACTTATCTTGGGACAAACGTTTTTAAACCAATCACAACAGTGGTAAAAACGACATTTTAAAATATAAACTCATATAGACGATGCCTATTTTGCAATACTGTACTCATTTCCCGTATTTTTTTCATCTTTTTTTGAATGATCTGTAACCAGTGGCGTTGACGTGCGTTTAGCGTTGGACCCTCCTCCATCTCCACTAGAAAGCCATGCCCAAATAAAAGCCATCACTAGTGAGTTTCCTCCGAACGGCATTGATTTGATTTGACTGGGGAAGGAGACTCAGAGGAGGCTGCCGGGGGGAAGGTTGGGACAGGTACAAACACTAAAGAACCAGCCTCCAACTTCACTAAATCTGTGGATTTTCTGATTTTTTTAGAAGATCATCAAACCACCGCAAAGATTACAGTTTCCCACGTTTTTTTTTAAAGTCCTAAAATGAAAATGTCCAGTAACCCTATTATTATGGTTATGGTGGTGCTTTGCATCGGGACCGCTGTGAACTGTATGCCGAACGGGAATGGGAGAAGCAGGCGGCAGGCTAATCAGGGAGAAGACCAAATACCTTCGGTATCATCGGTCTCTCAAGGTGAGTTACCTTTTGGCTACATATTGCAGATGGTTGTTATTAAAACTGTATTTGATTGTTTCTAAAAAAACGTTTGTATAAGCCTATAGAATATCACAAATGTTTGTTATATTGTAGCGACCTTAAACCAATACCCAGCGAGTTCGTTAAAAGTTTTGGACTTCTTGGCGTAAAGGTTAAGGCGTTGGCATGACAATCGCTGGACCTGGGTTTGAATCCCGGTCGGGGCAACCACCTGAATTCGTTACACTTCTGTCAGAAGTGGGATGGTGGCTGTGAGCCGTCGGAGAGGCGTGTCAACGTGAGGGACTTGGTATAGAGAAGCGTGGGGACACGCTGTCCTGAAGAAAGGGGGTAATGTAGCTACTTTAAGCCAACGTCTAGCGACCTAGTCAAGAGGTTCGGACCTCTTGGCTTAACAGTTAAGGCGTTGGCTTGATAGTCGCTGGACCCGGGTTCGAGTCCTGTCGGGGCTAATTGTGTCAATTCCCAAAAATGAGGCTACTTTAAAGTGAAACAAATTGTTACCCTGCTACTTTCCTTCCCTAGACGGCTGCATTGAGAATGGCCAGATGTATAACATTAACGACCAATGGGAGCGATCATATCTGGGCACTATGTTGATCTGCACTTGTCACGGAGTTGCCGGAATTAAGTGTAAAACGAAACCTGAAGGTGAGCTTGTATTTCTATATCTGTAATGTATGTAGCCTATCCTATCCTTCATGGTCAATGCAAGTCCTTTGTCTCTCACCGTTAAAAAACAAACAAAAAAAATGCCGGTTATGTAACAATATTAGTGATGGCAATGAATGAATTAAGTTCAAATATGTACTGATCTTCATCATCTGCCTTTCGTTCTTCCTAGCAAACACACAACATAGATAATATTCATGTGTGTTCCTCTGCTTCTCTCTCCCGTGTGCAACGGGTTTCATTGTCTTTACGAAAACAAACAAATAACATACCCCCTCAAAAATCTGTTCCACAGCTGAGGAGACCTGCTATGATAAGATCAACGCCAGGTCTTATCTGGTTGGTGAGACGTATGAGCGACCCAAAGAGGGCATGATCTGGGACTGTACATGCATTGGCTCTGGCCGGGGGAAAATCAGCTGCACCATTGCCAGTGAGTGGGCTTGTTACATTTTTACATTGTACATGTTAGTCATTTCAGCAGACGCTCTTATCCAGAGCCACCTACAGTTAGTGCATTCATCTTTAAGGAATACCTGGAATAGTATAAAAATAAAAAAAGTGGTTGTCCCACTGGCTATCATAAGTTGAATGCACCAATTTGTAAGTCGCTCTGGATAAGAGCATCTGCTAAATGATGTAAATGTGAGATAGCTAGGTGGGACAACCACATATCACAGGCATAGAAAGTACAATTTTTCCTCAATGTAGCTGTCAGTAGAGTCAGAGTTAGAAGGGGGGGGGGGGGGTTCAAGTGCAAGTGTTATTTTTATTTATTTAATTTTTGGGGGGTCGAGGTGAAGAGGAGGATTATTTAAGATACTGTTTGAAGAGGTAGGGTTTCAGATAGTGTTTCGATAGTGTGTGTGTGTGTGTGATTGGGCTCAGTAATCCAGTTAAATCTCCGTATCACATAAATCCCTCTTAGGATGTGGTTCAGTCACTGCAGCTGTCTGTGGTGGCTGGCTGGTCACTGACTGGGTGGTTGGTTGGTTTGTGTGTGTGGTGGCTGGCTGGGTCGCTGGGTGGGTGTCTGTGTGTGTGGTGGCTGGCTGGGTCGCTGGGTGGTTGTCTGTGTGTGGTGGCTGGCTGGGTCGCTGGGTGGTTGTCTGTGTGTGGTGGCTGGCTGGGTCGCTGGGTGGTTGTCTGTGGTGTGGTATGGGGCAGGCTGGGTCCCGCTGGGGTGGTTGTTCTGTGTGTGTGTGGCAGGCTCGTTGGGCGCTGGGGTGGGTGTTGTGTGTTGTGGGCTGGCTGGGTCGCTGGGTGGGTTGTCTGTGTGTTGGTCCGGGGGTCGCTGGTGGTGTCTGTGGTGTTGTTGGATGGGCAGGCTGGGGTCGCGGGGTGGGTGTCTGTGTGTGTGGTGGCAGGCTGGGTCGCTGGGTGGTTGTCTGTCGTGTGGGTGGCTGGCTGGTTCGCTGGGTTGGTTTTCTTGTGTGTGGTCTGTCTGTGTGTGGTGCTGGCTGGGATGGGGGGTCGCTGGGGTGGTTGTCTGTGTGGTGGTGGCTGGCTGGGTCGCGGGGTGGTTGTCTTGTGTGTGTGGTGGCAGGCTGGGTCGCTGGGTGGTTGTCTGTGTGTGTGGTGGCAGGCTGGGTCGCTGGGTGTGTGTGTGTGTGTGTCCCCTGTATCTCAGTTGGTAGAGCATGGCGCTTGCAACGCCAGGGTTGTGGGTTCGTTTCCCACGGGGGTCAGTATGAAAAATGTATGCACTCACTAACTGTAGTCGCTCTGGATAAGAGCGTCTGCTAAATTACTAAAATGTAAATATACAGTGTGTGTTTAACTGTGTTTCTGATTCTATCCCAGACCGCTGCCATGAGGGGGGTCAGTCCTATAAGATTGGGGACACGTGGAGGAGACCCCATGACACTGAGAGCTACATGCTGGAGTGTGTTTGTCTGGGCAACGGCAAGGGAGAGTGGACCTGCAAACCTGTTGGTGAGCATTGGGCCAGTATGGGGAAAAAAGAAATGTATGCACTCACTAACTGTAAGTCGCTCTGGATAAGAGCGTCTGCTAAATGACTAAAATGTAAAATGAATGGGAATGACTTAACCAACCTCTGGAAGTTAGCTGTCTAAACAAATAGGAAGTTAGCTGTCTAAACAAACACCGACCTCTGGAAGTTAGCTGTCTAAACAAACAGGAAGTTAGCTGTCTAAACAAACACCGACCTCTGGAAGTTAGCTGTCTAAACAAACACCGACCTCTGGAAGTTAACTGTCTAAACACGTCACGGTCATATTCATTACTGCAAATTGTAGCAACATTTTTTGTTATTATTGGAAAACGTCTCATTGGTCAAGTTCTCTTCAGGTAGTCCGTTCCCGTTTCAGCCCATTTGCTTCCGTTTTTGTGAATACGATCCTGGAAGTTGACGTTAGCTGTCAAAACATTACATCATAAAATATATCTTAACTCCTCCCACTTCTTGTGTCCGCAGCGGAGCGTTGCTATGACAACACGGCAGGGACGTCCTACGTGGTGGGTGAAACCTGGGAGAAGCCATACCAGGGTTGGATGATCGTAGACTGCACCTGTCTAGGAGAGGGGAGTGGAAGGATCACCTGTACATCTAGAAGTAAGACACCAACACACAGGAGCAAACACACACAAGGACGCACGCACACACACACCTGTAAGACCCCACAGCCGTACCAAGCCGCCAAGCTCCATCACTCATCATTCATCATCACCTCCGACTCACCAACAGGCCCGACCACAAATTCCTTCCCACACACACACACACACACACACACACACACACACACCTCTACAGACCATGGCAGCTTCAACCCGATGTGTGTGTGTGTGTGTGTGTGTGGGAACAGCTCAGTTCCACAAGCTTAATTAAGGGAAAAACTTTAGCTTAACTTGGTGAAGAGGAATGTAAATTGTCTGTGGTGGAAATGTAAATTGTCCCAGTTCCATGTTTAAGTGATTTTACATGTCCTTAATGAAAACCCAATGCAATTCCATAACATTATGAAACGTGTTAGCTATTATGTTGATTGGCTGACACAGCATTTCAACCCTGTGTATATCAGACAATATACCACGGGTATGATGCAAAAATACATACTGTTCATTTTATGTTGGTATCCAGTTTAAAATAGCAATAAGGTAGCTCAGGGGTTTGTGGTATATGGCCAATATTCAACTGGTTGTTACCACAACCCCTTGGGCCTTATCGCTTAATTATACTACTGCTTGCCTGTTAAAGTGAAACTGAACTGGGTTGTATTCATTAGGGCAAAATGTAGCAAACACTTTGCAACATAACTAAAATCAGCTTCTTATTGGACAATTCCAGGCAGTCCCTTCCTGTTTCAGTCTGTTTTGTTCCGTTTGGTGCCTACTGAACATGACCCTGGTTAAAGTGGTACTGAATTATTTCCCTCTATCAGACCGGTGTAACGACCAGGACACGCTGACGTCCCATAGGATCGGAGACACCTGGAGCAAGACGGACGCCCGAGGTCACATGCTGCAGTGTCTGTGTACGGGGAACGGGCGCGGGGAGTGGAAGTGTGAGAGACACGCGTCCCTCCACACCACCGGCCTGGGTGAGACTCCTTAATGAGTGGAGAGTGGAAGTGTGAGAGACCGTGGTGAGACCATCTCTGCTTCAGCTCATCCTTCCCCCCCCAGACAGTGTTCATTCTAATTACAAGTCTGCCAATATTAAACACGTTAATAAGGGATTTCCAAGGCTGGTTTCCTTGGACACAGAGCCTAAACATAAAAGCATGTTCAATTGATATTCTGTGACTGGGAAAACTGCCCTTAAACTTTTCACAGCAAATTTTGCAAACGAAATCTAGTTTCTAATCATTTACACACATTTTCACAGAAGGCTTTTTTTTTTCTCTTTCACACATGTGGCGCTACAGGTACCGGGTCCCGTGTGATCACCAACATCCAGCCGGCTGTGTACCAGCCCCAGCCCAGCCTGGAGCCTCGTCCCGGCCTAGCCCTGGAGGGGGCCTGCCAGACGGACGCCGGGGTGGCCTACGTCCTGGGGATGAGATGGATCAAGACCCAGGGCAGCAAACAGATGCTGTGTACCTGCCTGGGAAACGGGGTCAGCTGTGAGGAGTGGGGTACGTGCTGATTTTATATTCACATATAGTTATTGTCCAGCTATTGTTTGCGATGTGTCTCTGACGCAGTAAATACATTTTATTTATAAACTGTTTGCTTATACAAGAACTCAAGTTTGACATTTTTATTTACAATAATAAATACATTGGAAATCTTACTCACCAGAGCTCCCACAATGAAAACGGTGTTTTAAAAAGTAGAATCGGCAATTTGCCATCATTCAGAAATCTTTCTATCTGGTTTCTTGTGTTTTGTGTTCAGAGGGCCCAGCCCCAGTGTACGGGGGGAACTCCAACGGTCAGCCCTGTGTGTTCCCCTTCACCTACATGGGGAAGACCTACCACTCCTGTACCTCAGAGGGACGCCCTGACGGGCAGCTGTGGTGCTGCATCTCCTCCGACTGCGAAACCGAACAGAAATACTCCTTCTGCACAGAGAAAAATGGTAATATATATATATATACACTATACCGTTCAAACGTTTGAGGTCACTTAGAAATGTCCTTGTTTTCTAATGAAAAGCAATTTTTTTGGGGGGGGCCATTTTAAAATGACATCAAATTTTTTCAGAAATACAGTGTAGACATTGTTAATGTTGTAAATGGCTATTGTAGCTGGAAACGGCTGATTTGTAATGGAATATCTACATAGGCGTACAGAGGCCCATTATCAGCAACCATCAGTCCTGTGTTTCAATGGCACGTTGTGTTTGCTAATCCAAGTTTATAATTTTAAAAGGCTAATTGATCATTAGAAAACCATTTTGCAATTATGTTAGCACAGCTGAAAACTGTTGTTCCAGCTACAATAGCCATTTACAACATTAACAATGTCTACACTGTATTTCTGATCAATTTGATGTTATTTAATGGACAAAAAAATTGCTTTTCTTTCGAAAACAAGGACATTTCCAATACTTTTGAACGGTAGTATATATATATATATATATTTTTTTTTTTTTTAATGGTTTGTTATGTTAATTGGACGAGAGTGGGTGGGAAGCGAGAAGGTGGAGAGGAGAGGAGGGAGGGAGAGATGGGTGGAGAGGAGAGAGAGGTGGGAGGGAGGGAGAGATGGGTGGACAGAGAGAGAGAGAGGGGAGAGGGATGGACGGAGGGAGGATGGGAGGGGGAAGAGAGAGAGGAGGTAGGGAGGGAGGGAGAGATGGGTGGACAGAGAGAGAGGGAGGGAGGGAGGGAGGAGATGTGGGAGGAGGAGGGTAGGACAGAGGAGAGGTGAGGGAGGGAGGGAGAGGGGGGTGGACAGAGAGAGAGGTAGGGGAGGGAGGGAGAGTGGGTGGACAGAGAGAGGGTAGGGAGGGAGGGAGAGATGGGGTGTGAGAGAGAGAGGTAGGGAGGGAGGGAGAGATGGGTGGACAGAGAGAGAGGTAGAGGGAGGGAGAGGAGAGAGAGGGGGAAGAGAGAGAGGTAGGGAGGGAGGGAGAGATGGGTGGACAGAGAGAGAGGTAGGGAGGGAGGGAGAGATGGGTGGACAGAGAGAGAGGTAGGGAGGGAGGAGAGAGGGGAGAGGAGAGGTAGGAGGGTGGAGGCAGAGAGAGAGGTAGGGAGGGAGGGAGAGGATGGGTGGACAGAGAGAGAGGTAGGGAGGGAGGGAGAGATGGGTGGACAGAGAGAGAGGTAGGGAGGGAGGGAGAGATGGGTGGACAGAGAGAGAGGTAGGGGGAGGGGGAAAAGATGGGTGGACAGAGAGAGAGGTAGGGAGGGAGGGAGGGAGAGATGGGTGGACAGAGAGAGAGGTAGGGAGGGGGGAGGGAGAGATGGGTGGACAGAGAGAGAGGTAGGGAGGGAGGGAGAGATGGGTGGACAGAGAGAGAGGTAGGGAGGGAGGGAGAGATGGGTGGACAGAGAGAGAGGTAGGGAGGGAGGGAGAGATGGGTGGACAGAGAAGAGGAGGTAGGAGAGAGGGTGGACAGAGAGGGAGGAGGAGGGAGATGGGTGGACAGAGAGAGACCAGAAGGACGCCTTTTGAACCCAAAAATAATGGTGATCTCTTGGATGCAGTGAACAGAGTCGGAGAAAACAATAGTAGAGCGAGTGTTTCATCTGATAGGACGTCATCTGTGGTAGCGCAACACAAGCAAGCATGTGTTGAGAATGGCGATCTCAATTCAACCCGAGCGTTTTCCAGCAGAGTCATTCGAATTCTAGCCAGCCGACATCATTAAACATCTGGGTTCTATTAGAATGGGAGTTAGTTTCCAGGTTTCTTAGGGTGGTTACTTACTCATTGTCTGCATTCCAAATGACACCCTTCGTAGTGCACTACTTTTGACCAGGGCCAATAGGGAATAGGGTGCCATTTGGGACGCACTCATTGTGATTGTGTTTGCAGTGATGGTGACAACGAGGGGAGGAAACTCTAACGGTGCTCTGTGTCAGTTCCCCTTCCTCTACAACGGGAGAAACTACACAGACTGTACCGCCGACGGGCGCAGGGACGGCATGAAGTGGTGCGGCACCGCCACCAACTATGACGGAGAACAGCGATTCGGCTTCTGCCCCATGGCTGGTGAGTTCTGTTGCCCCATTCTGAGTTCTGTTGCCTCATTGCTTCTTCCCCATGGCTGGTGAGTTCTGTTGCCTCATTGCCAAAATGTTCTCTCACTCCATAAAATTGATCTAAAGCCACAGACACATACACGCGACGATCGTCCGAAAGCAGCCAGTGGCCGTCCCATAATCTTTAGGTCCATACTGGCACCAGCTGTGAATGGGTGATCACACACTGGCACCAACTGTGAATGGGTGATCACCTACTGGCACCAGATGTGAATGGGTGATCACCTACTGGCACCAACTGTGAATGGCTGATCACACACTGGCACCAACTGTAAATGGGTGATCACCTACTGGCACCAGATGTGAATGGGTGATCACCTACTGGCACCAGATGTGAATGGGTGATCACCTACTGGCACCAGATGTGAATGGGTGACCACCTACTGGCACCAACTGTGAATGGCTGATCACACACTGGCACCAACTGTAAATGGGTGATCACCTACTGGCACCAACTGTGAATGGGTGATCACCTACTGGCACCAACTGTGAATGTGTGATCACACACTGGCACCAACTGTGAATGGCTGATCACACACTCACTGCATGAGAGCCACCATCAAGTGGAGGTATTGGAAGATGATGAGACTCGTGGTGTTCTGTCACTGAACTTAAGGTGGAGTGGTGGGAACCATCGGGGTCGCTAAGTGTCAGTGTTAAAATGCCATCTGTTGGCTTGTAACACAAAAGGGTTAAAGACTGCCTTTTAATCAAACGCATGTTTTGAAATGCTAATGATATGTCTGAGGCCATTGGAGTATTGTGGGATCTCAACTCTGCTTCTCTGCTCTCCCTCTTTATCATGGCTTCAATCTGTCTTCGATTTGTTCTTTTGGATTTTTACACAATCAGTCAAACTTATTTTTGGCCAAATGAGTCAGTGGTAAATTCGCACGCCTGTTGAAAGTATTGACCTGTTATTGGGCTATAAGTAGGGTCTTTAAGTCATTAGGTAAATGGGTAAATTACCATGAGAAAGATGGGGCACTGATTGGCCATAAGGTATTAATGGTGATGGTGATCACCCTGGCTGACCTAGTGGAGACCCAGATCCTTGACTCCCAGAGCTAGGACCCAAAGCCCAGGGAGTCTGTCCCAGAGCCCAGATCCTTGACTCCCAGCGCTAGGACCCAAAGCCCAGGGAGTCTGTCCCAGGGGCCATGGTCTCTCTTCCTGGCTGGCAGAGAACAGAGAGAGACTCCCTGGCTGTCTGCTGGTCTCCAGGACAGCTGCAGTCATCAGAGCATCAGTCAACCCCCTCCACAGATCTCTATCTATCTCTGCACTGTCCTCTCTTCTCCCTCTTTCTATCTCACCACATATAAACCAATCATCTCCTTTTAATTAGGAGGACATCCCCTAGGCCCATATGTCTAAAGCCTGCAGAGGACGTAGTCCTACACATGTTATGAACATCTGTTTATGTTGTTCAGCCTTGAAAAGTTCCATTTTACTGACGGCTCCAGCTGCACTGTTCTATATGTTCTAACATTCTAAAAGTTCTAACATTCTAAAAGTTCTAACATTCTAAAAGTTCTAACATTCTATATGTTCTAACATTCTATATGTTCTAACATTCTAAAAGTTCTAACATTCTAAAAGTTCTAACATTCTAAAAGTTCTAACATTCTATATGTTCTAACATCCTGAGTACTGTTCTGTCCTCTCAGCTCACGAGGAGGTGTGTACGACCAGCGAGGGCGTGATGTACCGCGTGGGAGACCAGTGGGACAAACGCCACGACGTCCTGGGACACATGATGCGCTGCACCTGCGTTGGGAACGGCCGCGGAGAGTGGAGCTGTATCGCTTATTCCCAGCTCAAAGGTAATGAGAACATGGGATTTTTATAATATATGCCATTTTACTGCTTTTATTTTTTACTTATCTATTTTTTACTTAACACTTATTTCTCTTAAAACTGCATTGTTGGTTAAGGGCTTGTAAGTAAGCATTTCACTGTAAGGTCTACACCTGTTGTATTCGGCGAATGTGACAAATAACATTTGATTTGATTTAGCAGACGCTTTTATCCAAAGCGACTTACAGTAATGCGTGCATACATTTTACATATGGGTGGTCCCAGGAATTGAACCCACTACCCTGGCGTTACAAGCGCCGTGCTCTACCAACTGAGCTACAAAGGACCACATAGCACTTTTCTAAAAACCCAAATACACTTGAAAGTAGGTGAGGTCATACATGCCACACAGAACATGCCAGCGCTGTGGTGATGTACATCCGGACCTAATGCTCTTCCTAGCCCTTCAACTTGACCCTTGACCCTAACACTTTGATGTTCTCAGATCCCAACATGGTGGAAGCGGTAGTGAGAGAATTGGAACCTGCTGTTTTTGACCTTGTATGTGTTTTCCTTCCTGTCATAGATCAGTGTATTGTGGACGGGTTGACCCATGAGGTGAACCAGACCTTCACTAAGCTCCATGAAGAGGGCTACATGATGAACTGCACCTGCTTCGGACAGGGCCGCGGGCGCTGGAAGTGTGACGCCATTGGTGAGTTCATAGTTCATAGAAACCTATTATTTTTATGGACCAAGATGTTTGTTTTTGTGGCGATATTTACCGCTTGTGGTGTTGTACCTGACTACCCTGGTCCTAGATTTGTTTGTGCTTCATTTTGTGTGACCATGGAATTTGGCTAGACCCCACAAACAGATCTAGGACCAGGGTAGTACTTTCAATGTACTGAGTACACTTTGCTGAATCATGTGCATATGACAATTACTGTCACGATCGTCATAATGAGCGGACCAAGGCGCAGCGTGATATGAGTACATACTTTAATAGGTACTTTTAATTACAACACAAAACAACAAAACGATACGTGAAGTCCTCGGTCAATAACACAAACCTACACGGAACAAGATCCCACAAAATGACAAGTGCACAAAAGGCTGCCTAAGTATGGTTCCCAATCAGAGACAACAAGCAACAGCTGATTCACGTTGCCTCTGATTGAGAACCACCCCGGCCAACATAGAAACACATAACCTAGAACAGAACATAGGAAACGAAACATAGACACTACACACCCTGGCTCAACATATAAGAGTCCCCAGAGCCAGGGCGTGACAATTACACTTGATTTGATTACTTGGCTACTTGAACATTTTGCATGATCATTTCTGATGATAATCTTGAAGTAAAATCTTACCGTATTTAACATCTGTTCCCAGACCAATGCCAGGAGCCGGAGACCAGAGTCTTCTATCAGATCGGCCAATCGTGGGACAAGCTTATCCACGGCATCATGTACAAGTGTTATTGCTATGGCAACAGTATTGGAGAGCTCAGCTGCGAGCCCCAACAGTCTTTCCCAGGTAAGAACACCACACCAATACTACCGGTGTTGGGGTACGTCCTCTCCCTGGTATGGACGAAGTTCACTGGGCGTGGTCACAACTCTATACTAGACTGTTGGAGGGTGTTCTGTGGGATACGTAAGGACAGAACAGACTGTTGGAGGGTGTTCTGTGGGATACGTAAGGACAGAACAGACTGTTGGAGGGTGTTCTGTGGGATACGTACGGACAGAACAGACTGTTGGAGGGTGTTCTGTGGGATACGTAAGGACAGACCAGACTGTTGGAGGGTGTTCTGTGGGATACGTGAGGACAGAACAGACTGTTGGAGGGTGTTCTGTGGGATACGTAAGGACAGACCAGACTGTTGGAGGGTGTTCTGTGGGATACGTAAGGACAGAACAGACTGTTGGAGGGTGTTCTGTGGGATACGTAAGGACAGACCAGACTGTTGGAGGGTGTTCTGTGGGATACGTAAGGACAGAACAGACTGTTGGAGGGTGTTCTGTGGGATACGTAAGGACAGAACAGACTGTTGGAGGGTGTTCTGTGGGATACGTAAGGACAGACCAGACTGTTGGAGGGTGTTCTGTGGGATACGTAAGGACAGAACCAGACTGTTGGAGGGTGTTCTGTGGGGTACGTAAGGACAGACCAGACTGTTGGAGGGTGTTCTGTGGGATACGTAAGGACAGAACAGACTGTTGGAGGGTGTTCTGTGGGATACGTAAGGACAGAACAGACTGTTGGAGGGTGTTCTGTGGGATACGTAAGGACAGAACAGACTGTTGGAGGGTGTTCTGTGGGATACGTAAGGACAGAACAGACTGTTGGAGGGTGTTCTGTGGGATACGTAAGGACAGAACAGACTGTTGGAGGGTGTTCTGTGGGATACGTAAGGACAGAACAGACTGTTGGAGGGTGTTCTGTGGGATACGTACGGACAGAACAGACTGTTGGAGGGTGTTCTGTGGGATACGTAAGGACAGAACAGACTGTTGGAGGGTGTTCTGTGGGATACGTAAGGACAGAACAGACTGTTGGAGGGTGTTCTGTGGGATACGTAAGGACAGAACAGACTGTTGGAGGGTGTTCTGTGGGATACGTAAGGACAGACCAGACTGTTGGAGGGTGTTCTGTGGGATACGTAAGGACAGAACAGACTGTTGGAGGGTGTTCTGTGGGATACGTAAGGACAGAACAGACTGTTGGAGGGTGTTCTGTGGGATACGTAAGGACAGAACAGACTGTTGGAGGGTGTTCTGTGGGATACGTAAGGTCAGAACAGACTGTTGGAGGGTGTTCTGTGGGATACGTAAGGACAGAACAGACTGTTGGAGGGTGTTCTGTGGGATACGTGAGGACAGAACAGACTGTTGGAGGGTGTTCTGTGGGATACGTAAGGACAGAACAGACTGTTGGAGGGTGTTCTGTGGGATACGTAAGGACAGAACAGACTGTTGGAGGGTGTTCTGTGGGATACGTAAGGACAGAACAGACTGTTGGAGGGTGTTCTGTGGGATACGTGAGGACAGAACAGACTGTTGGAGGGTGTTCTGTGGGATACGTAAGGACAGAACAGACTGTTGGAGGGTGTTCTGTGGGATACGTAAGGACAGAACAGACTGTTGGAGGGTGTTCTGTGGGATACGTACGGACAGAACAGACTGTTGGAGGGTGTTCTGTGGGATACGTAAGGACAGAACAGACTGTTGTTTATCACTTCAGTTTGGCTGGTGGAGGCCGTTGGCTCTACTAGGAGAGAAAAGGAATACGTGAAGAAAATTAAGTGGGGCTTGATGCATTACTCTGTAGCCCTGCATGGGAAGGCCTATGGGGCTTGATGCATTACTCTGTAGCCCTGCATGGTAAGGCCTATGGGGCTTGATGCGTTACTCTGTAGCCCTGCATGGTAAGGCCTATGGGGCTTGATGCGTTACTCTGTAGCCCTGCATGGGAAGGCCTATGGGGCTTGATGCGTTACTCTGTAGCCCTGCATGGTAAGGCCTATGGGGCTTGATGCATTACTCTGTAGCCCTGCATGGTAAGGCCTATGGGGCTTGATGCATTACTCTGTAGCCCTGCATGGTAAGGCCTATGGGGCTTGATGCATTACTCTGTAGCCCTGCATGGTAAGGCCTATGGGGCTTGATGCATTACTCTGTAGCCCTGCATGGTAAGGCCTATGGGGCTCGATGCATTACTCTGTAGCCCTGCATGGTAAGGCCTATGGGGCTTGATGCATTACTCTGTAGCCCTGCATGGTAAGGCCTATGGGGCTCGATGCATTACTCTGTAGCCCTGCATGGTAAGGCCTATGGGGCTTGATGCATTACTCTGTAGCCCTGCATGGGAAGGCCTATGGGGCTCGATGCATTACTCTGTAGCCCTGCATGGTAAGGCCTATGGGGCTTGATGCATTACTCTGTAGCCCTGCATGGTAAGGCCTATGGGGCTTGATGCATTACTCTGTAGCCCTGCATGGTAAGGCCTATGGGGTGAATAATGTTTTCTCATTGTAGCCCTGTTCCTCTCTGCTACCCTTCTAGAACATATGTTCCTCTCTACTACCCTTCTAGAACATCTGTTCCTCTCTGCTACCCTTCTAGAACATCTGTTCCTCTCTGCTACCCTTCTAGAACATATGTTCCTCTCTGCTACCCTTCTAGAACATCTGTTCCTCTCTGCTACCCTTCTAGAACATCTGTTCCTCTCTGCTACCCTTCTAGAACATCTGTTCCTCTCTGCTACCCTTCTAGAACATCTGTTCCTCTCTGCTACCCTTCTAGAACATCTGTTCCTCTCTGCTACCCTTCTAGAACATCTGTTCCTCTCTGCTACCCTTCTAGAACATCTGTTCCTCTCTGCTACCCTTCTAGAACATCTGTTCCTCTCTGCTACCCTTCTAGAACATCTGTTCCTCTCTGCTACCCTTCTAGAACATCTGTTCCTCTCTGCTACCCTTCTAGAACATCTGTTCCTCTCTGCTACCCTTCTAGAACATCTGTTCCTCTCTGCTACCCTTCTAGAACAACTGTTCCTCTCTGCTACCCTTATAGAACATATGTTCCTCTCTGCTACCCTTCTAGAACATCTGTTCCTCTCTGCTACCCTTCCTCCTCCTGGGTGACAGGAACGCTCGCATCTCTGATCTGTGCTTTCTCTCCACCACGCCCCCTCACACTCTTTTAATTTAGCAGAAAACCAACAATTGAATGAAACTATCCTGCTCCAGGGTCATTAAACCTGGCCCTCTGGTTTCACACCCCGCTTGTTTGAGACTTTGTTCACAACTTGATTTTGAAGTGGAAGGGAGTGGGGAGAGAGGGGTAGGCTAGCACATGTTGGTACATCCTCCACCCGCTCCGTTCTCCTCCATGTTGTGCTCTAGAGCGTGTGATGATGTGGTGCTACCTCCTCCATGTGGTGCTAAACTCTAGTTGATGTGGTGCTACCTCCTCCATGTTGTGCTACCTCCTCCATGCTGTGTTAAACTCTAGATGATGTGGTGCTACCTCCTCCATGTGGTGTTAAACTCTAGATGATGTGGTGCTGCCTCCTCCATGTGGTGTTAAACTCTAGATGATGTGGTGCTACCTCCTCCATGTGGTGTTAAACTCTAGATGATGTGGTGCTACCTCCTCCATGTTGTGTTAAACTCTAGATGATGTGGTGCTGCCTCCTCCATGTGGTGTTAAACTCTAGATGATGTGGTGCTACCTCCTCCATGTGGTGTTAAACTCTAGATGATGTGGTGCTACCTCCTCCATGTGGTGTTAAACTCTAGATGATGTGGTGCTACCTCCTCCATGTGGTGTTAAACTCTAGATGATGTGGTGCTACCTCCTCCATGTGGTGTTAAACTCTAGATGATGTGGTGCTACCTCCTCCATGTGGTGTTAAACTCTAGATGATGTGGTGCCACCTCCTCCATGTGGTGTTAAACTCTAGATGATGTGGTGCTACCTCCTCCATGTGGTGCTGCCTCCTCCATGTGGTGTTAAACTCTAGATGATGTGGTGCTACCTCCTCCATGTGGTGTTAAACTCTAGATGATGTGGTGCTACCTCCTCCATGTTGTGTTAAACTCTAGAGCGTGTGACGATGTGGTGCTACCTCCAGAGGTTAGTGGAGGAGAGAGGGGGAGGCACACGTTACTATATCCTCCACCTTCTCCCGCTCAGGTCTTTTGTTGTTAGTTGGCGTGTGGCGCTAACCTTCTGAGGTGCTGACTGATGTTTAGTCATCTCATGTTAGTGGGGAAGTGAACTATGAGCTTCTCTCACCACCTCTGCTTTTCTGAGTCGGCTTACAGCTCTAGATTTAAAGCTGGTAACAAGCAAACTGGAAATCGAGAGCCGTTTACAGACGAACCCTGTGTTTTGTCTCTCTTCTCCTATTTCTCTAGCACATTTTTTTCTATAGAGGTGCTCAACAATGCACTCAGTACTCTGCTACAATCCCCAGCCGTTTTCTGGTTGGTTACACCATGACCGTTATAATTTTAAGCAACACAAAGACTGTGCACTGTCCATTCAAGACCGTGTACGCAGGTTGATAAAATGAAAAATCCTCAGCATTTTTGTTTAAAGTGAAGGGTACCCCAGCCCAGTGCAATAACTTCCCTTAGTGCCATGCAGCTGTGAGATGTGTTAAAATATTATTAGTATCTGCTTTAGCCTGCCTGGAGTACCAGATGGGCGGGGTTTTGCAGTTTTGCGAGTATTCTATTGGTTCCATTGCGCCAATCAAACCCAGATAAAGTATTTTAAATGATTTTGAATAGTGTTTGAACGAATGGCTGTGAACGCGGTGGGGGGTCAGAGAGCCTGGCGGTGGTTGGCTGCTGGGACCTAGTACAGACTAGGGATATAAACTCTTTTAAAACCTTCCCAGTCAGTGGGCCTTAGTAACTGTAATGGGAGGAATTAAGAACAGATTGTGCAGAGGGCACACTAGCCTGCCATGGCAGGGTTAACCAATCCACTTGCTGAGGGCAATTGATTGGTCGACATTTTTAAACGTGTATTTTTCCATATATAGACACACCCTATGTGTTTTTGAATAAAATCAACTATATGCATTGAGCTTGATGCTGATGCTTTAAGTTTACGGTTTGATGAAATAAGACAAATGCCTCGAGAGCACCAGAGAATAAAAAAAAAAACGTAACCTGACCCAACCATCCTCCTCCCGCTCCTGCTGGCTTTCTCAGATTCTGCCGTTACTCTCCTGAAGTTGCCGGTGATAGGCTACACGAGGAGTCGGCAACATTCTCATGTGGAATGCCAATTTATCTTACCGTTTCTACCGATCTGCGTGCCAGTGATGGTTTTCATATGCACATGTTCGTGAAACGGTTTAATTTAATTGATAATAACGTCTTCATATCTCTAAATCATTGTAATGTGGTTAATCAAGATTCGATCCAAATCTAAATGAAAATGATACAAACCTAAAAAGTAACTTCTATTGCCAACTATGTAAAAATAGCCTCCATAAAGCCAACAAATAAAAACATTGCAGCCTGCAGATAGAAAATATCCTAAAACAAAATAATACAAAAAAAATATCTCATTGGCTACACATGGCCTGTCTGCAACGAACTTGAAACATTGTATCAACTATTAACTTTGGTCCGGCCCAAAGCTTGTTCTAGCTTACTTGCAACATTGTATAAAATATTCTGGGCCCTCAGAGTTTCCCCGCCAGTGAGCTCGGGACAGACACAGCCGTAGGCTGTTTGCACAAGGGATAAGAAGCAGTGCTTGACTTGGGCTGGAGCTCACCGGAGCTGAGTACCGGCACCTCAAAATGTTCTACTGCTTGAACTCCTGTTCTTTATAGAATATTAGCTCAAAAGTACTGTGGAGCTCCTGCACCTAAAATCTAGACAGTACCAGCACCCAAAATTAGTACCGGAACCTATTTCAGTCCAAGTCAAGCACTGATAAGACGTAATCAGGTAGGCCTATTTTATGACGTTTCCACTGGATCAGAGCATTACATTTTTCCCTGTCACGCTGAGTGGTTATCGAAAGGGAGAGAGAGCTGGAAATATTTTTCTAATATATTAAGGAACTATTGTCATTCTCAATGGATGTAAAAACAGACTTTGTTTGCTTGCTGTTTTTGAGGTGAAGAAAACCATTACTTTGAGAAGCGCCACAGCTCATTAGGGGTGGTGCGTTAAGCCAATCAGAAATACTATCAGATCCCCAAATGGACACATTTATGCGCCTACCATTTGAGCGCAGGCCAGGTAGACTATAGACCTACTTCTATGCGTGTGCGTCCTTACTCAACATTGACAGGAGCGCTCCAAACAAAAGACAATGTCTAAATTTGACAAAACTCATAAATGTAATGAAATAAACAAACTTGTTTCTCACAAGTGTAGCAGGTTGCGCGCTCTGCAAACAATGTGTCCACTCCGACAATGAGAACAGGAAGACTGGAATAATAATATTGAATGCATTAAAATAAATTAACATAACCAACGTAACAAACATTGTAAATTAGGAATTGTTACAACATTTCGGAGGCGCATGGCGATGCGGTACGGAACTCTATTTGGCCTCTGCATGCCTCCGGAGGCTCCGCAATTGCGTCACACCTTCCATACAGAGCCTGGCTTTTAGTCTAGGCCTCCTCCGCAATGGATTAGTTCACTGAGGTGTGCAGTGCATTCGGAAAGTGTTCAGAGCCCATGACTTTTTCCACATTTTGTTACGTTACAGCCTTATTCTAAAATGGATTAAAATATTATAATTTTTTCTCATAAATCTACACACAATACCTCATAATGACAAAGCAAAAACATGTTTTTAGAAATGTTGGCCAATAAAAATAAGAAAAATAAGAAATACCTTATTTACAAGTATTCAGACCCTTTGCTATGAAATTGAGCTCATGTTCATCCTGTTTCCATTTATCATCCTTGAGATGTTTCTACAACTTGATTGGAGTCCACCTGTGGTAAATTAAATTGATTGGAAATGATTTGGAAAGGCACACACCTGTCTATTTAAGGTCCCACAGTTGACAGTGCATGTTAGAGCAAAAACCAAGCCATGAGGTCGAAGGAATTGTCCATAGAGCTCCGAGACAGGATTGTGTCGAGACACAGATCTGGGGAAGGGTACCAAAAAATGTCTGCAGCATTGAAGATCCCCAAGAACACAGTGGCCTCCATCATTCTTAAATGGAAGAAGGTTGGAACCATCAAGACTCTTCCTAGACAGAAGCCACTCCTCAATAAAAGGCACATGACAGCCCGCTTCGAGTTTGCCAAAAGGCACCTAAAGCACTGTCAGACCATGAGAAACAAGATTCTCTGGTCTGATGAAACCAAGATTGAACTCTTTGGGCTGAATGCCAAGCGTCATGTCTGGAGGAAACCTGGCACCATCCCTACGGTGTAGCATGGGGGTGGCAGCATCATGCTGTGGGGATGTTTTTCAGCGGCAGGGACTGGGAGACTAGTCAGGATCGAGGGAAAGATGAATGGAGCAAAGTACAGAGAGATCCTTGATGAAAAACTGCTCCAGAGCGCTCAGGACCTCAGACTGGGGTGAAGGTTCACCTTCCAACAGGACAACAACCCTAAGCACACAACCAAGATAATGTGGTCCTCTGTAGCTCAGCTGGTAGAGCACGGCGCTTGTAACGCCAAGGTAGTGGGTTCGATCCCCGGGACCACCCATACACAAAAAAAATAAAAATAAAAATGTATGCACGTATGACAGTAAGTCGCTTTGGATAAAAGCGTCTGCTAAATGGCATATTATATTATATTATATTATATTATATTATAATGGTCCTCTGTAGCTCAGCTGGTAGAGCACGGCGCTTGTAACGCCAAGGTAGTGGGTTCGAACCCGGGACCAACCCATACAAAAAAAATTTATTTATGCCAACCGCATGACTGTAAGTCGCTTTGGATAAAAAGCGTCTGCTGAATGGCATATTATTATTTATTATTATAATGCAGGAGTGGCTTCGGGACAAGTCCTGGCACAGGACTTTAACCTCCTCCCTGTAGGCTGTCTCGTTGTTGTTGGAAATCAGGCCTACCACTGTCATGTCATCAGAAAACTTGATTGAGATGGAGTCGTTCTTGGCCACGCAGTCATGGGTGAACAGGGAGTACAGGAGAGGGATGAGCACGCACCCCTGGGGGGCCCCCGTGTTGAGGATCAGTGTGGCGGAGGTTCCAACTTCAAATCGTCAGGATTATGTCTAGTCGTAGAGTGGAATAAAACTCTGTTTATATCATAAAGTGATAGCATTGTTTCCCTAAATTGATAATCCTATCGTTGGCGCTAAAGTTATAGTTAATTTTTCTGTTGCGGTGTAGCTATGTCTACATGAACAGGTCTAGTGAAGGAGCTGAAGGTAGTTCTCTCTCTCTCTCTGCTTTGCATGCTGAAACCCTGGCTAACAAAAAAATCTCACAGGGATATGCTACTTCTCCCCTTCCTGTTTTTGTACCAGAAACTTATTATGTACTGTATTGTACAACCTACCATTTCAGATCTGAAATTGTAATAAAAAAAGTTTAGATTCCAAATGTGTGATGTGTTCTAGATTGTTTCACTTTAATGCCATTGCTTTGTGGGTATCTAGATTTCTTTCACGATTCCACACCATGCTGTTCAAATACCTTAACAAATCACTACTATCAATTGTTATCAGATGGTGTTGCTGAGATGTATAGTTTCACCGCTAACCTATAATACAATAGGTCTGCTCCTCTATCAGATGGTGTTGCTGAACGTGTTTCAATGTTGTAGTACTGTCGTATATCTTCCTCCGTGTGGCGTGTTTCGACTCTGTCATGCTTCATACCTCTCTCCCAGGTGGTAACCGTCCAGTCCAGGTGATCATCACAGAGTCTGGTAACCAGCCCAACTCCCACCCCATCCAGTGGAACGCCCCGCCCTCCACACACATCACACAGTACATTCTCAAGTGGAGAGTGGTGAGTAGTAGTGTATATTATATTATATTATATTATATTATCTGTATAGTAGTGTATAGATTTAGGAAAATCTGCGTTTTGTTTTTTTGCCCGTAATTTGTGGAACAATCTGCAGAGTTCACTGCAGTAAAATGTGCTGGTGCCTCTCGGGCAGTTTAAATGATTGATTGAGGACCTGTTTAATGTGATCTCTTTTATTAAATATGTTTATTGTGTGCTGAATTATATTGTTTTATACACGTATGTTTTATTATTCTGTTTTTATTGTAATGTATACAGGGCTCTTGTAAAATAGATTTTTAATCTCATTGTGACTCCCTGTTTAAATAAAGGTATTACATTATTATAAAAAAAAAAAAATCTGTATAGTAGTGTATTATCTGTATAGTATTGTATTATCTGTATAGTATTGTATTATCTGTATAGTAGTGTATATTATCTGTATAGTAGTGTGTATTATCTGTATAGTAGTGTGTATTATCTGTATAGTAGTGTGTATTATCTGTATAGTAGTGTGTATTATCTGTATAGTAGTGTGTATTATCTGTATAGTAGTGTGTATTATCTGTATAGTAGTGTGTATTATCTGTATAGTAGTGTGTATTATCTGTATAGTAGTGTATTGTATTATCTGTATAGTAGTGTATTGTATTATCTGTATAGTAGTGTATTGTATTATCTGTATAGTAGTGTATTGTATTATCTGTATAGTAGTGTATTGTATTATCTGTATAGTAGTGTGTATTATCTGTATAGTAGTATATATTATCTGTATAGTAGTGTGTATCTGTATAGTAGTGTGTATTATCTGTATAGTAGTGTGTATTATCTGTATAGTAGTGTATTGTATTATCTGTATAGTAGTGTATTGTATTATCTGTATAGTAGTGTATTGTATTATCTGTATAGTAGTGTGTAGTATCTGTATAGTAGTGTATTGTAGTATCTGTATAGTAGTGTATTGTAGTATCTGTATAGTAGTGTGTATTATCTGTATAGTAGTATATATTATCTGTATAGTAGTGTATTGTATTATCTGTATAGTGGTGCATTGTATTATCTGTATAGTAGTGTATTGTATTATCTGTATAGTAGTGTATTGTATAGTAGTGTATTGTATTATCTGTATAGTAGTGTATTGTATTATCTGTATAGTAGTGTATTGTATTATCTGTATAGTAGTGTATATTATCTGTATAGTAGTGTATTGTATTATCTGTATAGTAGTGTATTATCTGTATTGTAGTATCTGTATAGTATCTGTATAGTAGTGTTATCTGTATAGTAGTGTATATTATAGTAGTGTATTGTCTGTATAGTAGTGTATTATCTGTATAGTAGTGTATTGTATTATCTGTATAGTAGTGTATATTATAGTAGTGTATTGTCTGTATAGTAGTGTATTATCTGTATAGTAGTGTATTGTATTATCTGTATAGTAGTGTATTGTATTATCTGTATAGTATTGTATTATCTGTATAGTAGTGTGTATTATCTGCATAGTAGTGTATATTATCTGTATAGTAGTGTATTGTATTATCTGTATAGTAGTGTGTATTATCTGTATAGTAGTGTATATTATCTGTATAGTAGTGTATATTATCTGTATAGTAGTGTGTATTATCTGTATAGTAGTGTGTATTATCTGTATAGTAGTGTGTATTATCTGTATAGTAGTGTGTATTATCTGTATAGTAGTGTATTGTATTATCTGTATAGTAGTGTATTGTATTATCTGTATAGTAGTGTGTATTATCTGTATAGTAGTGTATTGTATTATCTGTATAGTAGTGTATTGTATTATCTGTATAGTAGTGTATTGTATTCTCTGTATAGTAGTGTGTATCTGTATAGTAGTGTGTATTATCTGTATAGTAGTGTGTATTATCTGTATAGTAGTGTATTGTATTATCTGTATAGTAGTGTGTAGTATTATCTGTATAGTAGTATTATCTGTATAGTAGTGTGTAGTATTATCTGTATAGTAGTGTGTAGTATTATCTGTATAGTAGTGTGTATTATCTGTATAGTAGTGTGTATTATCTGTATAGTAGTGTGTATTATCTGTATAGTAGTGTGTATTATCTGTATAGTAGTGTGTATTATCTGTATAGTAGTGTGTATTATCTGTATAGTAGTGTATTGTATTATCTGTATAGTAGTGTATTGTATTATCTGTATAGTAGTGTATTGTATTATCTGTATAGTAGTGTATTGTATTATCTGTATAGTAGTGTATTGTATTATCTGTATAGTAGTGTATTGTATTATCTGTATAGTAGTGTATTGTATTATCTGTATAGTAGTGTATTGTATTATCTGTATAGTAGTGTGTATTATCTGTATAGTAGTGTGTATTATCTGTATAGTAGTGTGTATTATCTGTATAGTAGTGTATTGTATTATCTGTATAGTAGTGTATTGTATTATCTGTATAGTAGTGTATTGTATTATCTGTATAGTAGTGTATTGTATTATCTGTATAGTAGTGTATTGTATTATCCGTATAGTAGTGTATTGTATTATCCGTATAGTAGTGTGTAGTATTATCCGTATAGTAGTGTGTAGTATTATCCGTATAGTAGTGTGTAGTATTATCTGTATAGTAGTGTGTAGTATTATCTGTATAGTAGTGTGTAGTATTATCTGTATAGTAGTGTGTAGTATTATCTGTATAGTAGTGTGTAGTATTATCTGTATAGTAGTGTGTAGTATTATCTGTATAGTAGTGTGTAGTATTATCTGTATAGTAGTGTGTAGTATTATCTGTATAGTAGTGTGTAGTATTATCTGTATAGTAGTGTGTATTGTATTATCTGTATAGTAGTGTGTAGTATTATCTGTATAGTAGTGTGTAGTATTATCTGTATAGTAGTGTGTAGTATTATCTGTATAGTAGTGTGTAGTATTATCTGTATAGTAGTGTGGTAGTATTATTGTATAGTAGTGTGTAGTATTATCTGTATAGTAGTGTGTAGTATTATCTGTATAGTAGTGTGTAGTATTATCTGTATAGTAGTGTGTAGTATTATCTGTGTAGTATTATCTGTATAGTAGTGTGTAGTATTATCTGTATAGTAGTGTGTATCTGTATAGTAGTGTATTGTATTATCTGTATAGTAGTGTATTGTATTATCTGTATAGTAGTGTATTGTAGTATCTGTATAGTAGTGTATTGTAGTATCTGTATAGTAGTGTATTGTAGTATCTGTATAGTAGTGTGTATTATCTGTATAGTAGTGTATTGTATTATCTGTATAGTAGTGTATTGTATTATCTGTATAGTAGTGTATTGTAGTATCTATATAGTAGTGTATTGTATTATCTGTATAGTAGTGTATTGTATAGTAGTGTATTGTATTATCTGTATAGTAGTGTATTGTATTATCTTTATAGTAGTGTATTGTATTATCTGTATAGTAGTGTATTGTATTATCTGTATAGTAGTGTATTATCTGTATTGTAGTATCTGTATAGTATCTGTATAGTAGTGTTATCTGTATAGTAGTGTATATTATAGTAGTGTATTGTATTATCTGTATAGTAGTGTATACTATAGTAGTGTATTGTCTGTATAGTAGTGTATTATCTGTATAGTAGTGTATTGTATTATCTGTATAGTAGTGTATTGTATTATCTGTATAGTATTGTATTATCTGTATAGTAGTGTAGTGTATTATCTGTATAGTAGTGTAGTGTATTATCTGTATTGTAGTGTATTATCTGTATAGTAGTGTATTGTATTATCTGTATATTAGTGTATTGTATTATCTGTATAGTAGTGTATTGTATTATCTGTATAGTAGTATCTGTATAGTAGTGTATTATCTGTATAGTAGTGTATATTATAGTAGTGTATTGTATTATCTGTATAGTAGTGTATATTATAGTAGTGTATTGTCTGTATAGTAGTGTGTATTATCTGTATAGTAGTGTGTATTATCTGTATAGTAGTGTATTGTATTATCTGTATAGTAGTGTATTGTATTATCTGTATAGTAGTGTGTAGTATTATCTGTATAGTAGTGTGTAGTATTATCTGTATAGTAGTGTGTAGTATTATCTGTATAGTAGTGTGTAGTATTATCTGTATAGTAGTGTGTAGTATTATCTGTATAGTAGTGTGTAGTATTATCTGTATAGTAGTGTGTATTATCTGTATAGTAGTGTGTATTATCTGTATAGTAGTGTGTATTGTATTATCTGTATAGTAGTGTGTAGTATTATCTGTGTAGTATTATCTGTATAGTAGTGTGTAGTATTATCTGTATAGTAGTGTGTATCTGTATAGTAGTGTATTGTATTATCTGTATAGTAGTGTATTGTATTATCTGTATAGTAGTGTGTATTATATGTATAGTAGTGTATTGTAGTATCTGTATAGTAGTGTATTGTAGTATCTGTATAGTAGTGTATTGTAGTATCTGTATAGTAGTTTGTATTATCTGTATAGTAGTATATATTATCTGTATAGTAGTGTGTATTATCTGTATAGTAGTGTATTGTATTATCTGTATAGTAGTGTATTGTATTATCTGTATAGTAGTGTATTGTATTATCTATATAGTAGTGTATTGTATTATCTGTATAGTAGTGTATTGTATAGTAGTGTATTGTATTATCTGTATAGTAGTGTATTGTATTATCTTTATAGTAGTGTATTGTATTATCTGTATAGTAGTGTATTGTATTATCTGTATAGTAGTGTATTATCTGTATTGTAGTATCTGTATAGTATCTGTATAGTAGTGTTATCTGTATAGTAGTGTATATTATAGTAGTGTATTGTATTATCTGTATAGTAGTGTATACTATAGTAGTGTATTGTCTGTATAGTAGTGTATTATCTGTATAGTAGTGTATTGTATTATCTGTATAGTAGTGTATTGTATTATCTGTATAGTATTGTATTATCTGTATAGTAGTGTAGTGTATTATCTGTATAGTAGTGTATTGTATTATCTGTATAGTAGTGTATTGTATTATCTGTATAGTAGTGTATTGTATTATCTGTATAGTAGTGTATTGTATTATCTGTATAGTAGTGTATTGTATTATCTGTATAGTAGTATCTGTATAGTAGTGTATTATCTGTATAGTAGTGTATATTATAGTAGTGTATTGTATTATCTGTATAGTAGTGTATATTATAGTAGTGTATTGTCTGTATAGTAGTGTGTATTATCTGTATAGTAGTGTGTATTATCTGTATAGTAGTGTATTGTATTATCTGTATAGTAGTGTATTGTATTATCTGTATAGTAGTGTGTAGTATTATCTGTATAGTAGTGTGTAGTATTATCTGTATAGTAGTGTGTAGTATTATCTGTATAGTAGTGTGTAGTATTATCTGTATAGTAGTGTGTAGTATTATCTGTATAGTAGTGTGTAGTATTATCTGTATAGTAGTGTGTAGTATCTGTATAGTAGTATATATTATCTGTATAGTAGTGTGTATTATCTGTATAGTAGTGTGTATTATCTGTATAGTATTGTATTATCTGTATAGTATTGTATTATCTGTATAGTATTGTATTATCTGTATAGTAGTGTATTGTATTATCTGTATAGTAGTGTGTAGTATTTGTATAGTAGTGTGTAGTATCTGTATAGTAGTGTATTGTAGTATCTGTATAGTAGTGTATTGTAGTATCTGTATAGTAGTGTATTGTAGTATCTGTATTGTAGTGTGTATTATCTGTATAGTAGTGTGTATTATCTGTATAGTAGTGTATTGTATAGTAGTGTATTGTATTATCTGTATAGTAGTGTATTGTATAGTAGTGTATTGTATTATCTGTATAGTAGTGTTTTGTATTATCTGTATAGTAGTGTATTGTATTATCTGTATAGTAGTGTATTGTATAGTAGTGTATTGTATTATCTGTATAGTAGTGTTTTGTATTATCTGTATAGTAGTGTAGTGTATTATCTGTATAGTAGTGTAGTGTATTATCTGTATAGTAGTGTATTGTATTATCTGTATAGTAGTGTATTGTATTATCTGTATAGTAGTGTATTGTATTATCTGTATAGTAGTGTATTGTATTATCTGTATAGTAGTATCTGTATAGTAGTGTATTATCTGTATAGTAGTGTATATTATAGTAGTGTATTGTATTATCTGTATAGTAGTGTATATTATAGTAGTGTATTGTCTGTATAGTAGTGTATTATCTGTATAGTAGTGTATTGTATTATCTGTATAGTAGTGTGTATTATCTGTATAGTAGTGTGTATTATCTGCATAGTAGTGTATATTATCTGTATAGTAGTGTGTATTCTGTATACTAGTGTATTGTATTATCTGTATAGTAGTGTATATTATCTGTATAGTAGTGTGTATTATCTGTATAGTAGTGTATATTTATAGTAGTGTATTATATTATCTGTTGTATCAAACGTCCCAGGAAGACAGCAGCTGCTGCACTAACCTCTGAATACTAACCTCTGAATACTAACCTCTGAATACTAACCTCTGAATACTAACCTCTGAATACTAACCTCTGAATACTAACCTCTGAATACTAACCTCTGAATATATATATTTACACACCGCTGCCTTACTGTTGAACAAGTTCTGAAATACCTGTGAACTTCGGGAAAGTGTCTAAACTTTTTGTAACCATAATCAAAGTTTTTGTATACTCTTTTATGTTTAATATGAATATTATAATGTGGTGGTTCTAAAATGCGGTTGCTGTGTCTCCTCTCTTGTCTGGTAGAAAAATACCCGTACCCCGTGGCGGGAGGTGAATATCCCGGGCCACCTCAACTCCTACACTATCGCTGGCCTGAAGCCAGGCATCACCTACGAGGGTCAGCTGATCAGTGTGTTGCGCTTCGGGCGCCGGGAGGTCACACGCTTCGACTTCACCACAACACACGGCTCCTGTTAGTATGGCAAGATGGGCCTGTTTGACTCTCCTATGCTCTTTCTCAATTAATACTTCCGTTATTCCTTGTGTTCCTGTCCTTTTGGGTTTTTGGATCCAATGCGAGAAAATAGGACGGGAGGATTAGAGTAAAAGGGAGATATTGTCATTATTACGGCTTGGGTCTCTGAGTTTGAGGCTGAATCTGACGGTGTGATCTCACTTCCAGTGGCCACCTCGGAGGGAGAGACCAGCCAGCCTCCTCCGGTGGTGGACATCAGTGAGTCTGTTACAGAGATCACCTCCAGCAGCTTCGTCATCTCCTGGATGTCTGCCTCTGACACCATGTCTGGCTTCAGGATCGAGTACGAGCTCAGCGAGGAGGGGCAGGAGAGAGGACAGCCCATGATCCTCGGTACGGAACAAATCACTTTTTTACCACAGAAGAAACGTTTGGGGGAAAATGTCAATTAGCTTGATAGCGTGTGGAATGTATTCTGGAAAGCAGGGTTGGGGTCAATTTCAATTCAGAAATTTTAATTGAAGTTGCAATTTTTAAATCAAAGCAACGAGGAATTTCAATTTAACTTCCTGAATTGACTGAGTCGAATTGGAAATTAACCCCAACTCTGATGGAAAGCTAATATCTATTTTTAAATGACTAGACTGTGAAACTGATTTAACCTTAACTCGTCCTAATCTCTCTCTCTCTCTCTCTCTAGACCTCCCACGCACCGCTACCTCCGTGAACATCAATGATCTGCTACCTGGGAGGAAGTACACTGTTAATGTGTACGAGGTTACACCTGCTGGAGAGCCCAACCTCATCCTCACTACCTCTCAGACCACGGGTGGGTTCAGACAGACAGGGAGACAGGCAGACAGGCAGACAGGCAGACAGGCAGACAGACAGGCAGACAGACAGGCAGGCAGACAGGCAGGCAGGCAGGCAGACAGGCAGACAGACAGGCAGGCAGGCAGACAGGCAGACAGACAGGCAGGCAGACAGACAGGCAGACAGGCAGGCAGACAGGCAGGCAGGCAGACAGACGCCCACTACATACTGCCCTGTACCACCACCTCCATCTCCTATCTCTCTATACTGTATCTACAGTGCATTGGGAAAGTATTCAGACCCCTTCCCTTTTTCCATATTTTGTTACGTTACAGCCTTATTCTAAAATTGATTAAATAAATAAAAATCCTCGCCAATCATTTTACATTTACATTTTTGTAATTTAGCAGACGCTCTTATCCAGAGCGACTTACAATTAGTGAGTGCATACATTATTTTTTATTTTTCATACTGGCCCCCCGTGGGAAACGAACCCACAACCCTGGCGTTGCAAACGCCATGCTCTACAATCAACACACAATACCCCATATTGACAAAGCGAAAGGTTTTTAGAAATGTTTGCACATTTTATTCAATATGAATAACTGAAATACCTTATTTACATAAGTATTCAGACCCTTTGCTATGAGACTCGAAATTGAGCTAGGTGCATCCTGTTTCCATTCATCATCCTTGAGATGTTTCTACAACTTGATTGGAGTCCACATGTGGTAAATTTAAATTGATTTGACATGATTTGGAAAGGCACACACCTGTCTATATAAGGTGCCACAGTTGACCGCGCAAAAACCAAGCCATGAGGTCGAAGGAATTGTCCGTAGAGCTCCGAGACAGGATTGTGTCGAGGCACAGATCTGGGGAAGGGTACCAAAACATGTCTGCAGTATTGAAGGTCCCCAAGAACACAGTGGCCTCCATCATTCTTAAATGGAAGAAGTTTGGAGCCACCAAGACTCTTCCTAGAGCTGGCCGCCCGGCCAAACTGAGCAATCGGGGGAGAAGTGCCTTGGTCAGGGAGGTGACCAAGAACCCGATGGTCACTTTGGCAGAGCTCCAGAGTTCCTCTGTGGAGATAGGAAAACCTTCCAGAAGGACAACCATCTCTGCAGCACTCCACCAATCAGGCCTTTATGGTAGAGTGGCCAGACGGAAGCCACTCCTCAGTAAAAGGCACATGACAGCCCGCTTGGAGTTTTCCAAAAGGCACCTAAAGACTCTCAGACCATGAGAAACAAGATTCTCTAGTTTGATGAAACCAAGATTGAACTCTTTGGCCTGAATACCAAGCGTCACATCTGGAAGAAACCTGGCACCATCCCTTCGGTGAAGAATGGTGGTGGCAGCATCATGCTGTGGGGAGGTTTTTCAGCGGCAGGGACTGGGAGACTAGTCAGGATCGAGGGAAAGATGAACGGAGAAAAGTACAGAGAGATCCTTGATGAAAACCTGCTCCAGAGCGCTCAGGACCCCAGACTGGGGCGAAGGTTCACTTTTCAACAGGATAACAACTCTAAGCACACAGTCAAGACAACACAGGAGTGGCTTTGGGACAAGTCTCTGAATGTCCTTGAGTGGCCCAGCCAGAGCCCAGACTTGAACCCGATCGAACATCTCTGGAGAGACCTGAAAATAGCTGTGCAGAGACACTCCTCATCCAACCTGACAGAGCTTGAGAGGATCTGCAGAGAAGAATGGGAGAAACTCCCCAAATAAAGGTGTGCCGAGCTTGTAGGGTCATACCCAAGAAGACTCGAGGCTGTAATCGCTGCCAAAGGTGCTTCAACAAAGTACTGAGTAAAGTGTCTGAATACTTATGTAAATGTGATATTTCTATTTAATTTTGCCACATTTCAACAACAAAAAAACATTATTTTATCAATTTTAGAATAAGGCTGTAACGTAACAAAAAAAAGTGAAGGGGTCTGAATACTTCCTGAATGGTATAACTGACATTTCCTCTTCCTGTCCCCCAGCTCCTGACGCGCCCTCTGACCACGAGGTGGACGAGGTGGGAGAGACTTCCATCACGGTCAGCTGGGAGAAACCCCTGGCTCCCATCACAGGTCAGTACACACCCAGAGGCTATGTTTACACAGGCAGCCCAGCTGGGAGAAACCCCTGGCTCCTATCACAGGTCAGTACACACCCAGAGGCTATGTTTACACAGGCAGCCCAGCTGGGAGAAACCCCTGGCTCCTATCACAGGTCAGTACACACCCAGAGGCTATGTTTACACAGGCAGCCCAGCTGGGAGAAACCCCTGGCTCCTATCACAGGTCAGTACACACCCAGAGGCTATGTTTACACAGGCAGCCCAGCTGGGAGAAACCCCTGGCTCCTATCACAGGTCAGTACACACCCAGAGGCTATGTTTACACAGGCAGCCCAGCTGGGAGAAACCCCTGGCTCCTATCACAGGTCAGTACACACCAATTATTGGTAAAAGATCTGATCTGATCTGGTCAAAAAAATAACAATAATTGAGGCAAAAGATCAGAATTAGGCTGCCTGTGTAAAAGCAGCCAGAGATCCTTCCAGGAGACTGCTGAGTGAATGGGGTCTTTCCTCACCCCAATTATGTCCATGGAGACACACATATTCCACGTTAATCAACTGAATGATAATGTTACAAAAGGCTCAACAAGTTAGTTAGTTAGTTAGTTAGCCCCCCATCCAAAAATACTAAGGCAGTGGGAATCTTACTAGATTGGCGATGTTAAAAGGTCTGTATTGAATTGCCAGACATCTCCATGTAGGGAAAGTAATGAAGGTAATGAAGGATAACGTATCTCCTCTCCTATAGGCTACCGTGTGAGCTACACGCCGTCCGTAGAGGGCAGAAACAACGGAGCTGCAACGGAGCTGACCCTGCCAGACACGGTGACCTCTGTGACCTTGAGTGACCTTCGACCCGGCCTGCTCTACAACATCAGTATCTACGCAGTAGAGGACAGTCTGGAGAGTGAGCCTGTCTTTGTACAGGTCAACACTGCTGGTGACCCACTGCCAGGTACGTGTGTGTGTGTGTGTGTGTGTGTGTGTGTGTGTGTGTGTGTGTGTGTGGAGAGGTACTGGATTTCCTCAACTCTAGCCACAGTAGGTTTCTCTCGGTGTGATGTCTGGTACCATGAGACGAGGTACTGGGTCTCCTCACCCGCCTGTGGAGAGTCTAGTTCAGTCTACGCTCTTAAGCAGTGGTATTCAAATGTTTTCAGCGGGAACCCCAGTCTTTTCCGCCAGAATTTCAGGAGACCCAATTTCTTGCTCAAGATTATTTTCGCAACCCCCCCCCCCCCCAAAAAAATAAAGAAAATAAAACACACAACCTTAAAATTGTTACATTTTGATTTATAAATCAACAAATAACCTTCAATTTATTGCATTTTCATCTCAAATCAAAATGAAAAGAAACTCTATTTTTTTTTCACATTTTTTTTTGTGTGGGGGTGTACATGTAGGTAAGGTTAAGGTAAGCGGCCTAGCTCAAACAACCTATTCTGTTAGGTCATTTGAGCAGGGTTGCTGAAGCTATCCACTCTACTGGAATACGAATCTCTTCTCTCTCCTGTCCTTTCTCTCTCTCTCTCTCTCTCCTCTCCTCTCTCTCTCTCCGTCGTCCCCCCTCCCCTCTCTCCTCCTCTCCTCTCCTCCTCTCCCTCTCCTTCTCTCTCTCTCTCTCTCTCTCTCTCTCCTCTCTCCTCTTCTCTCTCTCCTCGAGCTCTCTCTTCTCCTCTCTTCTCTCTCTCTCTCTCCTTCTCTCTCTCTCCCTCTCTCTCTCTCTCTCGCATCTCTTCATTCTCTCTCCGCTCTCTCTCCTCTCTCATCTCTCCCTCTCTCTCTCTCTCTCTCTCTCTCTCTGAACCCCCTGAGGATCCAATTCAGGAAAAAGAAATACTGATTTAGATTCCACAGTGGAAAGTTCAGATGACGCATTCACTGTTCACAGCCCTAATGGTCCGATGGAAAGAGCTATGCTGTTCTATTACGCCTGGGACTCCTGAGATAAAGCCAAAAGGACAGATGCAGCTGGAAATTGAAAAGCTATTAGTTCAGACAGACTGGACTGCTAGAGGCTGTATAGCAAATTAGGCTGAAGATGTAAAAGGGAGTTGGAGCTGTTTGCGAAACCCTTCTTCTTATGAACGGAGTCAGCGAGTCTCCTACCGATTCATATTTATTAGGATCCCCATTAGCTTTCGCAGAAGCTACTCTCGCCGGAATCATTTACATTTGTAATTTTTTTTAATCATTTAGCAGACGCTCTTATCCAGAGCGACTTACAGTTAGTGAGTGCATACATTTTCATTCGTACTGGTCCCCCGTGGGAATTGAACCCACAACCCTGGCGTTGCTCTACCAACTGAGCCACACGGGAGTCTACAATAATCTGTGTCATTGCCAACAAAGGGTATATAACAAAGTATTGAGAAACTTTTGTTATTGACCAAATACTTATTTTCCACCATAATTTGCAAATAAATTCATAAAAAATCCTACAATGTGATTTTCTGGATTTCTTTTTCTCATTTTGTCTGTCATAGTTGACGTGTACCTATGATGAAAATTACAGGCCTCTCTCATCTTTTTAAGTGGGAGAACTGCACAATTGGTGGCTGACTAAATACTGTTTTTCCCCACTGTATAGTAACCCTAGGTGTAAAATAGTAAATAATGGCTATTTCTCAGAAAGTTTTAAACTGTTGTCGTATATGATGAATGGTGGTCATTATTGCTGTCAACAAAAGGAGTCTGCTCATACTGAACATTGATCATAAGGTTTATTCAGACCACAAGCTTCAGCATGAGTTTACAGACACGCGTGGTCCGGAGAGCAGTGTCCTCCAATTCTAATGTCTGCTCTGTCCTATCTTCTTCGTGTACCCCTATTTATAACCAATGCAACAAGATGGGCTCCCTCTTCTGGCCAGTTTACAATACACTTCCTGTCTATTATATGTTACATTATACTAACATAACCAACATTCCATTTCGTCATGAAAAACATTTTAACAAAGGCATAATCTTCAGATACGATATTCCCCCCTTTCGAGACGAAATAAACGTCTCGAAAACAAACAGAATAAGATTATGACTATTAACCATTTATCTCATTGAGTATCTTTAACATTAAACCAAACACATTCTCCTCTAGAGTGTAAATACCTTTCTATGAAATACCTGTTTATGAAGTGTGAATACATTACTATGACATATGAAGAAATCTCTATGGAGTGTAAGAGCGAAAAACTGTCCAGCAGCCATCCATCCATATCAATCAAGACAGTAAAATTCTCTCACGGTCCCTCTGCCCCAGGCAACCACCGTCGGTACTCCAGATAACCTCATTAACCATGTAAATGCATTTGAAACTATGATGTAATTAAATACACATGTAAACAAAATCCTATCCATAAATATCCATTGTACGGCTGGTCAACCCATCGAATCGTACAATGAATCTCTCCCTTCCTAGACCTTCTGTCCCTAAACCCCATCGAAATAAACAAAAGCATCTAAGATCCTCATCTGCATTCAATAACATCAAACATCATTCTACCAAATTAATACCTAAGAATATGACACAATTATGTATTACACATGTCTATATTTCATTGCCAACACTGGAATGTAGTCCACTACACTTCATCTCCCTGTAGTGTCCTCTTCCAATGGACTTGTTGATGATGGAATCAGCCACACCCTCCTTGTTTCATCTCCTCCAGTCATATTCTCCCTTCATATTGTCTTTGTTTGAGTATTCCAATCTCCACATGTTCTCCCAAATGCTTCTGGAATGACAAGAAAAGAAACGACCAAACAGTATCCTTTGCAAAACAACCACTTTCAAATTAAACCTCAACATCAATTTAAGAATATAAAAATGACCTATAAATGATGTATGAATCACATTAACCTATCCCCCCCTTGATTCATAAATCATACTAAAATCATACTAAAAAAAATGTTTTCCTTGAAACAATAAAAATAAAATGATCAAATAATCAAAAAGGATATTTATCCATTCAGTAGTCCATCTAGACCCCCTCGTCCGTCTTCGTCCAGATCCGGAACAGTCAACACCGGCATCATTCTCCAACCTATTTCAATCTCATAGCTTCCTCAAAAGTCAGTAACATATTACACCTTGCTATCAAAGCTGTCATTAACCCATCACTGCCCCTACTGGCCTAATTGATCTTGCAACCAAATTTTCTCAGATCTCCCAAACACATCCCTTATAATGCATATATAACCCCAGTGATCTTATCTGAACTATCTGGACTCAAAGTATAACTAATATTTATCAATATTATCTTCCCAAATGTTACACCATACCATGAATGAAGTCCCCCCTTCTCCCTTAGACTTACCCTTCAATGATAGGCTTGAAGACTATGACATGTAGCCATGTCTCTTTTCACCCCATTTTCAACCCTAGCTTCAGATTTCTGTGTTGGTACCACTCCTCTTTTAATGGTAAAAAACCTCATATGGAAGCTTAAACGTTGACCTGTAACAACATCCTATCCCCCATAGGGTAAGAATATACTCTATCATCACAAACCCACCAAATATCTCTAAAATTCCCATAGTCACATTGTCAGTCAAAAGCTAATCTTTTAACCATCAAGTCCTGCTCTTCTTACTACCTGGTATATAAAAAGTAACCTATATTCCCATAAACATACCCCTACCTCATATGTTTTATTAGAACAAAAACAACTTTTATCCCTAAATATTTCACCTGAATACTTCAGGTTTCCACCGTTACATGACTTTACTTTCCATCTAACAATTCCCATAGGGTAATCCATTTACCCAAGAACCCTTAAACCCTACTGTTCTGACAACTACATTATTTTATCTGTCAATGACTGTTGCCGATACCACAGTCATGACAAAGCATAACCCTGACCCACACCTGCCAGAGGCCGCGCGACCGTCTAACACGTCTTGGGCTGGCATCCCCAACAGACATCAACCCTCAAGATTCCTCACTGATTCTTACAGAATGAGTTAATCTATCTCTAATTTTCACAACAGAGGAACGAGCAGTACTGATCAGATACCCCCCCCCTCTGTCATCAAAATCAAAAGACCCCATCCTGCAGCTTCCATGATGAATCTCTATTCTCCATTTCAGATTAATCTATATTGTTTCTATTAATATCTGCTCTCCTATTTTAATCCTATTCGTACTATAACCTCCTGAGTCCCTCTTGCTACCTCTTTAATTTCAGAACAGTTGTTGTCGGTATCATACTCCTATATTTGCTATTGCCATAGTATCATTAATCCCTTCCAAAGTTACCCTTAAAGTAGTTGATTTAGCTGCTGTATCAACCCTAATTACTTCTAGTGCAAAAGTTCCCATTCCCATTATTCTCTATGTCTTATCTACTGTTGGAGTGACTACTGTCCATTCAGTTCTACTCCTCCTGAACTCCCTCAATGACTGTGGAGGCTACAACAGACCTCAACTCTTCCATTATAAGCATTACTTTATGAATTACATAGCCCTTTAACCCATAATTCTTAACCGGAACAACTTCTAATGCTTGCACTAGATAAGTACACATATATTCTCCCTAACCTTTCTCTATAATATTACGCAACATAAGTGAACAGTCACTCCTAACCCTCTTCTAAACTATACCTCCTTTTACTCCTGGTCCTGATAACAATACTTATTCTCCATAATTATCTCTCCATATGGGAGAAACGTCCCCATCCTAAACCCTAATAAGTATTTTCCCCCTAAAATTGGTGCTGTATTGGTTCCCTTATAATCAAATGCAATATATTTATGACTTTAATACCTATCAATGTTGAAAGAGTTAAATTGCTTCTCCCTGTTGTTCTAATAGACTGAAGTGTTAATGTCCTTATTTACTCCTAGTTTTCCCCCAGTTTTCCCCTAAGACTTTGAACTCCTTCCTTGTACTTCCATCCATCACCACTAGTGTCACTTTTTCCCCCTTTCAGTTCTACCTCTAAACTTTAAACCTTCTGATTATACAAAATACACCTATAATGACCTTGATCTCCCTACTGTACAGTGTCATTCACCATTGTTCTCTCTCTTACTACTAGCT